AGGGGCTGTCTGGAGTGCCTGAGAATGAGATACTCAACAAACAGAGTATGTTGCCATCAGCAACCAAACAACCAATCTCTGTAAAATATTATTTACATCAGGAAATATAACAGTCTTAAATACGAGAACTGCAATACAAAGAACTGCAATACAACCCCCGGGCTTCTGAACTGCCTGTGCCAGGCTCTGCTTAATGTTCCCTGTTGGACCCATCAAGTACTGCAGACAAACACCCTCTTCCTCTTCCGCAGCCTCAGGCAAGTATTAATCCTTCAGCTGCACCATGTTTCCTTTGATGAGCAAATTGCCATGAAGCAGCTTCATTGTTCCAGACATCATCCCCATGCTAAGAAGATAAGAAGGAAGCCAATGCAAACTAGTAAGAAGACAGTTGTGGCTCCAAGAGGCTCCATCACAATGTGAAACAGGGATGTGGAACTGCAGGAGGGCTGAAATTGCATCCTGGAAGCCTCATTTTATGTAGCCTAGAGTACAAACACCAGTGCTATGGTAACCTATAGCTGCTCTTGATTCTCCTAGATTAAACATACCAATGAGATAAAATCACTAGCTGCCAACAAACTTCGATGAATTGCTTTAATTCTTTGTGACCCATGTTGTTTTAATCAGGGACAAACATTAATCATTAATAAACTTTGCATTAACAAACCTGGCCAAATTGTCATTATGTGCTAATTGTCTGCTTACTACTGTCGCTAAGCACAGCCTAGATGTTTGCCCTATGATGGAAAACTGCAAATACAACATAGTATTCATCTTCAGGCCACTATACACTTGTGAATAGCATCCCACTGGATATCTTTTAACATTTCTATTGAACTCAGAGCTCCAGATGAAACAGTATACTCCATTCTAGAAGAGTTATTTTTCAGATGCTGAACATGTGCAGTTTCCATTAATGATTTAAGAACCCATTCAGAAGACCAGGATGTTTCCATAAAATATTACTCTAAAGGTTGGACCTGATTTCAGAGGAGCATGTTGGAACAGCTGGGAAAAACTGCTTCAAGGATGCTGGGGAGAAAATCCAGCTCTGGGACTGAACTTTTCCATTTCTGCTTAAAGAGCTGCATTTGCTAGGCTGACTTTCATCCTCTAGTTTGCAGTTATAGTCTGAGTCCTCAAGACCCACTTCACCTCCTTCTGACTTCTTGAACTGTGCTTTAACAGACCACTTTGATGACATACTTTGCCCCGACACTCTACTCTGTCAGTCCTCCCCTTCCTCTGTGCTCTTTTGTTTTCTTCCCTTCAAGTGCTTGCATCCCTTTGTTACTATCTTTTTGGGCAGGAAGTGCCACAGAAGAGAAGCAATGGGAGATTTACTCTACCACTGTACCTGCTCTGGAATATCTCACAGAATCTCCAGGTGAAACGTTCGAGTAGGCAACTGAAATGTGCCTTGACTTTTGCACTATGCATTTCCCCAGCGCTAAGCTGTTCACAGGCACCCAGCCACATCTCTTCTGTCGTGCTGCTCTTCAAGGACCTGCTGTATTCACTGTGGTTTCGATTCTATTAGGCCCTCAGTCAGAAAGGGGAATGGCTACTTAAGAGCCAGAACTGAGAATACAACTGCCAGCTTTTGCCCTAATTAGGATGCCACCATCACGCATACAGTCATCAAGCCAGTCAAGCAGCCAATCACTAAAATTGCCTCCCAACAAAGGGTCAACTGTAGGACAAACTCCTCTTGCCACCTCTACTTCCTGGAGGTGGAATACTCAAGAGCTTGTGAAGAAATTTGCTATTGCTGAGGTCTCTTACCTGAAAACACTAGGTGCTTGCTGGCAATGCAATGCTGGACATGGATTTTCACCTTCCAAGTTCCCAGAGGCTTTCATTTTTGTAGTTTTGAAATATCATGGTATTCTATACGCAGAGAAGACATTGTTTCAACAGGAACAGGATTTGGTCCTTACTTGCCCTATACTGCTTTATCTTGTGGGTATTTTCTCTGCTGATACATCACTCTCCTGTGGCCATCTTACAACACTGTCAGGAAAACACAATGAGCAGAGAAATGCCTTATTTTTCTTTGACATTTTCTATGCCTGGAGTACACTGATTCCCACACCTTCCACCAGACTGCTGGGCTGCAGTGTGGTGAATGGATCTCTTCAGCAAAGCAACTGTCCAACAGACCTGCCAGTAAAACAAGACATGGCTAAGCCAATGAACAGCTCTACAAAGTGGATCCAAACAAGAGCATCACTGGAGCCTATTTTAAATCTGTTCTTGAGCTGGCTCTTTATCTTACTATAAAGATATAAGCCAGACACTGGGCCTCTGACTGTGAGGAGGTGGGATGGGGCAGTCTAGGAAACTCCATGCAGACTGAGCATTTGCCAGGTGAGGCAAGTGCAGAGGGAACGAAATAAAATATTTTTACTTGCATGTGACTGTATTTACCTGTCCACAGTCACACTGTCCCCTTAATTTCCTTGACCTCAAGGGGTTAAAGGCAATACCTGTTAACATCAGCTGTTCGGATGCTCTCTTACAGTGCCTCATCCTGATTTTAGTTGTGACACTGGCAGCATCCTCTACTTTCACATATGTCTGTGGGGATCTAAGAGATGCTGACTAGCACTAACAGCCAGGATGTGTGTACTCCAGAGAAGTGTTTTGTACAGTCACAATCTGCTTCATCACAAATTTCCAAGACTCTGTTGAGCAGAGGGGAAACTCTAGCCTTCAGGAACCTGAGAATGTGCTCTTGCTTAGTTAGCACTAGCCCATTCTTGAGTACAGCACCTTGTCCCCAAACACTCTGGCAATCCTGGCATCTAACTCCCACTTCAGGAAAATTTCCTACTGGGCTGCTGTAATGTCCAAATCTGTACTGGCAACATAGGATGCTCCAGGCACACATCAGGGAAGGAAAATCTTGCTGCCATGGGATGAGCTTGGTACATGCTTGAACTTAGGGTGAGACACCTATAACTGTCTCCTATTTTCTGTTAAGAAGGACTAGCAGTCTCAAAACATCTTCACCATCATGTGTCTCCCCATGGTCTCGAGATGAAAAGGTGCTCTACTATCTCAGGCAGCCCCAGTAGAAAGCACTGGAGGATGTAAACACAAAACAGAGAGAGGGGCTGTGCTGTTCTGCTTGGCCACTGCAGCAATTTGCACAGCAAGGCTACTGTTATGATCCCAAGGACAGAGTGAAGCCTTCTTACTATGGCAACTCAGGTGAGTTTAGGCATCCCAACTATAACGTGGACAGTGTATGCTACGGAAAATGGAATGATGACTGGGATACACCTTAAAGACAGCGAAAGGATAGCATGCATCCAGTTCTGCACCCAACTTGAATCTGTGGTCTGCTTCCCATTGAGAGTCTGAGTGTGCATCTGACACGCAGGAGCGAACTTGCAGCTAACCTAGCAGCTTGCTGCCACTGGAGCATGGAGCCTGTTTGGGCCATATCCCATTCTGTGCTCAATATTTGGATTTGAAGTTTCTCTGCTGAGAGTAGAATTTATTGGACTTGCTGCCAAGCTATAGAACAAGTCACTGGCACTCACTGCTTGATATTATCCTTATCACACAGAGATTACCACAACGCTTTAGACTACATGGCCAGCTCTCCACTGCAATCTCCTGGGATGTCACTGCGCCACCCCTCCATCTTGGCCTCTGCACCTGGCCACTATGTGCAGGGCTGGCCATATCTCTGTAGTGGAGGACAATCCCTTTGTGTGCCAGGACTCAATTTTTTGCCTCCAGCACCATCTTCTCAGAAAAAGCTGGGAGCTAAAGAGATCACCAGGCTGGAAGAGCAGTGGTCTTGTTTCAAGCCTAATATGTTTCCCAGCATTAGAGATCACCGAGCAGGCCACTGTCCAGGCTGTCATCCAAATGCCAACTGGATGCCAATTCAAAACTGGATTTTTAGATCTAGCTGGCTAGATCCTGTGGTCCAGCAGAACTGAGAACAGACCATCAATCCTGAGGTGATGATGACCTTGTCAGCTCTTAAGACTGGTAGCCATTCTTCATGGTACAATTTCCTCCAACACAGAAATGGTAATTCGTCTGTTGGTACTTGATGCTGTTGAGTCAGAGGATGGTGTGTTGGTACCAGTATTAAAATACTTAATTTGCTTTCAAAATTAGAACACTTACCAGTGAGCTAATAATGGAGAACAGCAATACAGATGTCAACATCTGGTTACCTCCGGGAGACTTAACGCTGTGCTTTAAAGATGCTCATTCCAAAACTATCTTTCTTCTAACTCAACCCTATTCCTTAAATCCTACATCATGGCCATCTAGAATAGTCTTTTCCATCTTAAACCCAAGATTTTGAAAGCCATACTGAAGGCTTTCAACGGTTCCTCACGTCATTACTCTTAAAGAGCACCAGGGTCAATCTTGACTACTTCAACCTGATGTACACTGACTGACAGCTTTATAATCTTCACCATACCAGCAGATGACTAACCATTCTTCTGACTAGCCAGCAGGAAATTTGAATTTCTTAATTCCTACATCAGCACCTGTACTATCCTCTACTGCAACTCACGCAAAAGCCCACTTGAACTAGTCCAGATCAATATATAGGCTAAAAAAGAACACGGATAGGATTTGTTCAGCAAATAGGGCTCTGCTGAATCAGCAATCTGGAATACTGTTAATGTGGTAGAGAAGGAGCTTTTGGTACTGGGCATGCATCTTCAAAAACCACTATGATTAAGCGATGAAACAAGACACTTCCTTAGGGAAGTAGAGAAAGTATCTGCTAAATCAGCTTAGCATACAGTTAAACAATATTCTTGTAATTTCACCTGAGCTCCAGACAGTCAAAGCATATGAGTTCAGGAATACTTGATGCAGAGTTTAAAGCATGTTCTCGTCTATGATCTCCAGCAGCTGAAAGAAGTTGGTCTTTGCTATCAGACTCTTTGGGGGAAAAAAAAAAAAAAGACAACTTACGTAATCTTTCCAACAGGAATGTGAGATTCCAGGGAGACAAACGCAGCAAGTTCAGTTTTATTATTGTAAATTTATCATAACTAGTCCCTCTATTTCAAAAAGAAAAGATGAACGCCAAACTTAAGCATTTTCAATACCATGCTCATAACTCCAAAGGCCAGGGTATCTCCAAAAAGAGGTTTGGATCCTCATGCTACCAAGGAATAACATCTTTACAGGTTATGGTTACGCAGGGCTTTTCCTAGGTAGAATATATTATGGAGGACACAGGACTAACACACAGACACTCAATAATCAACAGAAGGGTTAGTGACAGGTTTCACTTTTTTTGCTACAGAACAATAATTGAGGCAATAGAAACATCTGAGAAGAGGCAGATATTCAGCCTCAAGGTTAGATATAAAAAGTTACCAGTCTTGATGTCAGCTGCAATCAATTCCTTGGCAATGCATAACTGCTGTTGTGCAGCCTAAACAAATAGAGATCAATCTGTCTCATAACCCAATTTCCAACTTCAATATTATTATTAAGTCAAGTCTCTGTTGTAGATGTCATCGTTTCTCCAGTTTTTTATACTTGGCTTCTGCAGAAGGAAAAATAACAGTATTTTAGGACTGGATGGGTAAAAGGCTTGAATCCTGCACAGTGCTATACATCTTAAAACTCAGGTTAATCTAGAGGACCATTTTTTCCTGAAGTATTTAGGTGAATCTAGTTGTCCACTAGGATTTTTAAGAATTAGGTGCCTAGGTCAGACAACTAGTACTAATTTAAGCTAAGGGGATTCAGGTGCCTGCTGGAACTTCACAAATTCCTCTATTTGCAAGGTTAAATATCTCTCTTGAAAACTTGGGTCACTGCACATTGCAAAAAAGAAACCAAGCTTCATTAATAGGCTGTATCTCAAGAATATCTGCAGTCTACCTCCATATAACTTGACGCACTAATCTTTTACCAGCATTTGCCACTTCATGTGCACCTCTGAAGGCAGGTCAACGGTAGGCTGCATGGGAAACTCTACAGCTCAGATTTGTCAGATAAAGGAGAAGCTTATTTTGCCTTGTTAAATCCCCTCACAAGGGGCTATGCTGATAGCTAGTAACAGTAGGGGGTAATAGTTACCAAGTTTTTTGGAATATGCATCCAATTTATAAGCTGCCTGTTCCAAAGCTGCAACCTGCTCCTCAATTAGGTTGATCTGTTCCAGATATGGCTGAAGAGCAGCATCTTAAAAAGGAAAAAAATCATTATTTATCAGTTCTTATTAATCCACTCAAGCAAATAATTCATGTTTGAAACATAAGAACTTCTCATGACATTCTTTGGATAGAATTCTTTAAAGGCTCCTTCCTTTCCTGCCCCCAAAATCAAGCGGTGATGCTGATAGTCATACTTCAGTGAAGTATGAAAAGTTTAACCTATAGTTTCAAACTCAACACTAATAAAATACTACAGGAATCAAAAAAGCGTTACTCAGTCTCAATCAGTTCTGAAATTAGTTGCGACATAGGCTAGCATAAGAGAAAATAATGCTATACTTCTGAAATTACGTAGTCTATAGCCTTAAAGAAATACACAAGCTTAGCATTGTGTAACAGCATGTATATCTTGCAGCCTTCTTTCCTTCAGAGACCAATGGAGTGTGACCTATTGGATTCTTAGATGCTTTATTTACTATGTAAGTATAGAATTTATTGTACTCCTCCCTTATTTGGTTTACTTACACTTTTGATTTAAATCCTTCAGATTCCTACTGATGTTTATAGCAATATCTTTCATTTCCAGGTACTTCAAGCTGGTCAGCTTGTTCATGTTTTCCAAGAGTTTGTAGTCTTCACTGGTGGCTTAAAAACAATAAAGTTTATTTTATTTGAAAGCTGTTACAGTTTGAATTGGGGGCATACTCTTCAACAGGACTAGAGATTTCAAAACAATATCCAAATGTAACTAAAAACAGCCTACTGGTAATACGGTTATTAGCAAAATGCTCTGCAAAAACAGATCACACACTGCAATGTAGAAACATCAGCTGGACTGATGAATACTTACTGACTTGCACTTGCAATATATTCAGAAAGGGAAAAATTGACTAATTCCACTCATTTCTACTACTATTCTGACAGTCAGAAGCTTCCATTTACAAAACTGATAGTAGGAATCCAGACGGCTAATCGGACCGTATACCCTACAGCCCATGCAAATCAGTAGTGGTGTCAAGTGGTTCTGAAATTAAAGCCTAAAGAGCTGGATGATTCGTTAAATGCTTTCCAATTTTCTTTCTTCTGTGTTTCTTTTTTTTTTTGGGGGGGGGGGATGGAGGGTAAGAGATGAGGGTTAGACTTTGTAACACTAAGAGATTAACATGTTCACCAGAAACACCATCAGAAACTCCTGAATAAAGGAAATTTAAAATTGTCATTTTGAAGACAGCCTCTGATTCATCAAAACATAAAAAAGAAAAGATGCTCCACAGATCAGAATAGCAGACTGAGATTTGGGTGATCCCAACACTTTCCTTGCATCACAGGCTTCCTTGCCTACCTCAGTCAAGTCATTTAAATCCAAATTCTCAAGATATCAATTGAATTCAATGTTATTTAAAAATTAGATTGTTAAGTTCCTACATCCCACAGTTCCCTACCTGTAAAATAGGGATAACTGATTTTCTATACCTTTACACCAGCATGGAAGGATAATCACATTAGAGATAACAACAAATGTAAGAAGAACCTCAGCTAGACAAGCCTATGCTTAAGCGACCTATTTCTGAAGCTGACCCTGCTCTAAGCAGGGAGTTAAGACTAGATAATCTGCAGAGGTCCCTTCCAATGTAAACTATTGTACAATTTCCAGATACAGAACCAAAGCAGCTGGGCAGATTTGCAGATTTTTACAACCAAAGTATACGAAGCACCTTGGACAAAAAGTACAGTTATCAATTATGTTCTATGTTGCTATTTGCACTTTAATCGTTTTAACCCACAAGTAACTTAAATAAAACCTCCCAGGCTGGAATGTTTTAAAGCAGAGTCAGTCTCCAGAAATAGACATTTCAGTTTACTTTACTCCAGTTAATGCTGAATGGCAGTTTATTTTAAAGCATGAATGCTGGAATACATATGTATGATCCTTGCTCTCACTCGGAAATAAAAGAGCTGCACATGTGCCACTCAGTTGTGCTTTTCTTCCTGTCCTTCTTAGCCTAGGTCTGTTCTGGTTTTGCCCACACGCAAGCTTGTGCCAGACTACATATACCTTGTTACAATTGCTGGTATCATCCTGAAAATTTCTGAAAAATATTTTTGCTAATCTGGGACTTCATTAACACGACTAATCTCAGTGTTGCTAGTAGTCTAGCAACTTGCCAGACTTGAACTGCCAGTCCCCCCTGATACGGTCTAAATAGGTATAATTTAGACAAACTAGACAGCAGATTTCCTAAAACAACAACAAGAAGTTACTTGCAAGTCAGTATTGCAATGCCTTACCTGTCAGTTCACCTGTTAAGTAAGTAGCCATTTTGTTGAACATATCTTTACAAAGTTCATTGATGTCTGCTTCTGCTGGTTCCTTAGCTTCCTCTGCTGTTTCAATAGCAGGGTCCTCTAATCAGGATACAAATAGACATTATGGACTTAGGGGAAAGTTAGCAGGTACAGAAAGACATACAGAAAATTAAACAATCCCAACTTTTTAAAAATAGAATGCATCTAGTTTACACACAAATTGTCTGCTTTACATTAAGGTATAATTAACCGAGGCTGGTTCCTTAAAGTACTACTAAGATTATTTCAAAACAATGTTTTGGGGATAAGAGACAGGTACCTGCTCTGATGGCTTATATAAACATCAGCCCACTCCTATGCTTAGATGACAGGAAAGCAGAATTCGGGGAAACCTTCTGAGTGGTGCCGCCTCTAGAAACATCATGCACCATGCTGCTGACCCTTCTCCATTTCTAGTCGCTGACTTAACACGAGAGCTGCTTCCAAGCCGATAACCCCCGTCCTTCTTCTTCACGCCCACTTCTACCACAACTCCTGCTTGTTCCGCTCTCCAAGGAAATAACCCCGTCCCTCTCCTTTAACCGGACGGCACAGCCTGGCATCGCCCACGACTTGAACACTGAGGATGCCCCGGGCCCTCAGCGGCTCCCGGCCGACCTAGCGGCGAGCGCCCTGCGGCTGCGGCGAGGGGCG